GGTGTGAGTGTTGTCTTCTTGAAGTATTGCTGTCTCTGATGAATTTACAATGCAAGTTCTTCAGCGATCACTGAACATACTCAGTGATGATCGCTGGAACTGAAAATACAGAAACACAAATACAATTGTGAAAGGGAAAAGGGATTATCATCAAATCACTGAGAGAGAGGATTAACATGGTATTTTGGTAATATACATGGATCTTTATATACATGCATGGGGGAGGGGTTTTAATTATGCATGCATGTATATGGGTAAAGGCTGGTAGCCCACTTTCTAAATAATAAATAGAAGGGTTGAGTTATCAGACAAAAGTTTCTAGCCTTGTTTAGAAAATTTAGAGCAACTGAGAAGAGTTTTCCGGATATTCAAGAAGTTTTGCAATCTTCTTCAAAACTGAGAATTCTCATAAGGTGAGTGATTTTCTAAACTTCCTTTTCATAAATATTGTTTTGTTACTAGTTTTTGTAAATATGGTGTATTATTCTTAAAAGAATTTTGTATCAGATTTGGGTCTTTATCCGGATAAAGGGGTGACCGGATTAAGTATAAACTGGACATAGTGTTGTCCGGATTGTTTCTAAACCGGACACGTGTTGTTCGATTTAACTTCAATTCGAACAAGTGTTGTGCAATTTAGGGAGTTAGTGAGAATTTAACTTATGTAAACCGGATAAAGGTTTTGAACGGAGAAATATGAATACGACCAAGCATTGTGCGGTTTAGCCTTAAATCGCTCAAGGGTCATTCGGACTAATTATAAATAGGACAAGTGTGTTGTCCTGATTAGTATATCGGACAAAAACTAAGTGATGTCCGGATTTGTACATCGGACAAAGGGTCAGTATTGTCCGGATTGCTTGTCCGGATAACTTGTCCGGATGGTTATTTGATAATTTTCAAGTGTTGAGCATTTTAGATGTTTATATAATTTAATAAAGCCTATTATTGGGTTTAGTTATGGATTTATAAAAAGGGGTATTTTATATCTTTTTAAATAAAAGATATGTTCCTACCAAGCGTGGTGACGTATGTCTGTTTTGGTATGAAACTTGTTTTAAGAGGTAGTTCCCCCAGACGTGGTGACTTTTGTCTGTTCTGGCTTGGAACTGGGAATGGGTACTTTCAGACGTGGTGACTTTTGTCTGTTCTGATAAGTAGCCCGATTTTGATGGAGGAATAGGGGTGACATATCAAGGAGAGGTGTACTTGGGATAAGGGAGGCATTGTCATACGTGGATATTATTATAACTCTTATTATTATTACTAATTGGATTTAATAACTTTGAGTCATCATTTCTTTGTGACCTGATTAATTAGAGATATTCTTCCTATTAGAAATAATAATTTAGATGTTATTGAGAAGGGGAAAATAGTTTGTCACAAAGGGCAAGTATTGCCTTAAAACTTTCCATTAATATTTACAGAGAAATTCTGATCTCTTTTAGTCTGATGAATCAAAGAGACATTGGTTGCAATGTGAGAATATTGGATCTTTTAACATATGCATTTGTATCAAGAACTGAGGTTATTGAGTTTATCTTATTACTCATTTTATTGAGGTATGCATTGTCTGATTGAAATGCAAATATACCTGAGCAAAGATATTTTATTATATTTTAGTGTTTCATCACCCTGCATTTGAAAGAAGGGATTTACTCACTAGACCCTTCTGGTATAACCCTCATTTTCTGTTTTAAAAATATGTAATGCAGGAACGGCAGGGGCAGGGATAATAAGGGAAAAAGGAAAATATGATTATTTTCCTAATCTGATATCTGCTTTTGGAGATCTGCTTGAGATTGCTTGTTTTGGATAAGACATGTCGTATTACATGTGATAGTACAAGAATTTGTTTTGGAATTTTTCATATGTAGATTTTGTACATATAAGAATCATTGTACTAGTGGGACCATGTAATGTAAACTATATTTCTATGTATTGAAATATGTGTTATATGCAAATGTGGTGTTTGGAGGTGTTACATTCTGGTACCTATTGAAGTAAAACGAAAATAGGGTAAAACCAAAAGTTGAGATAATTCAAATATTTTCTAAATTTATCAATTGAAAGGTGTAGAAAACATTGAGATTGCATGGGCTATTTATACCTAATCAAAAGACAACCTTAGTTAACTAGGAAAACATTAAACCTAATTCAACTCCACCTGGGAAAGCTTGAAAAATTAACTATGAAACATAAAATTCCAATCTTAACCCAACTAGGAAAACAAATATATTATTGAATCTAAATCAATAAAGAAATCCTAAGGATTTTAGGGAAGTAAATAAATAATCCTAATTTATCCAGAAATTGGAAGCGGCCTTTGACACTACAAGAAAAATGACTTTCAGAGAAGGTATTGTTTTGTACTTAAAAGTTTTAAAAGCTTCTTTAAAGCCTTTAGATAAGCTTTTCAATTTTATCAAAGAGCTTCTCTGTGTGACGGTAGGTGAAGGTTTTAGAGAGGGTTTTCGGAGGGTGTGTTTTTGTTAGCCTTTAGAGACGCTTAATTGAGGCTTTAGATACACTTTTAAAACTTCTCTAAAGGTTAGTCAATTTTTTATTCAAAGCTTCTCTAAAAGTATATATATTAGTGACACTTTT